CAGCCCACACATCTGGGAGGGCCCTTCCACTATCCTTGGTTACTTCTGGATCAAATCCTGAGTAACAGATTCCCTTAGTTCTGGGTCAGGCTGATGTGATGATGAGTCTTATTGAGGGGAAAATACACATGCACCCACATTGTGAAAGAGTTTGTACATAAATATCCTGTATAAAACTGTTACAAAACTCACATGATTGGGGGTGGGGAGGTATTTGTAGTTAAAAAATCTACAGCTGCAAGAAAAAAAAAAATGCTTAAGATGTTGCTGATTACAGAAAATATTTCCTGGAGTAGAGAATCAGCTTTGTAATCCCAAGCAATGGAAAATACAACGTGCCATATCTTAGCACCAAAATGGAGCCCTTGAGACTATATATATCCACATGTAATACAGCTGGTTTTAATGGTGTTTGGTTGCAGCATGTTCTTCTCTTTTGGCACTTGAATTTGGAAATGGGAGGAACAGCCTGAGTTCCTCCTTTTCCAAACACACTGCACCAGAAAAGCAAAAAGTAGCTGAAGTGTCCTGGTGCTACTGAGCTTCTAAGACATCGAGATGGCACTGCAGCTCTGCCAAATTCAGATCTGTGCCCTAAAAAAGACCAAGGCAGGCTCTTCAGGTGACCAAATGTTGATTACGGCAGCCCAACAGTGTCTGGTTTGCCTTCAAAGAGGTGAGATGGTGTTTGCCACACACCATGTGAGTGGGAACAGCAAAAGGTTGAAGGTTAAAGCCAAGGAGTGGTGACTTTCCAGTTTTAAGGCAAATTAGCTGTTTGAGCAGAGTGAAATATTAATGGGTTTTAGGTGTCTAACTTACTGAGAAACTTCATAAATCCTATCAGACATTCAAATACCTCTAACAGTGTGGGTCAGGCCACCTCAGCTTGGACATGCATCTGCCAGATGCTTCATTAAGGCCAAGGCCAAGGACACCAACTGCCCTGATTTCAGTTGTTACTGAGGGCACACAGCATTTCTAGGAGGCTTTCTGCACCCTGAAGGACCAAACTATTAAGGGCTATTGCATACGGTTAACATGGTGGAGCTGGAAACCCCAAAATTGTTCTCAGAGCTGAGAAACCATCACCTGAGAGGTAGAAAAAGCCAGATTTGGTCATTCTGGCATTGAGAAAAAAAAAAAAAGTGTGGATGGGAGCTGTGTTTTCAAGCTGGAATGGGAAGAAGAGCTCTGAAATCAAAGAGAGCATTTTTCTTTAAGGTAGGAGAGGAGCATCCATGACAACAGGAGCAAGGCAGGACAACTGGTCAGGGAATCATGGACATTCCCCTGAATGAATGCTTTAATCCACTTTCAGAGACTGGTGCTTTGGGCCTGCTGACTGGAATTGGCTGATTCTGCCAAGGTAAGTGCTGAGGGAGTTGGGAAGGGAGGAGGGATCTGCCCATGGGGCTGTTCAACCTGATTGAGTGCATGCTCCAAAGAACCCTCCTTGTGGGAGCGAAGTGTTCTGTGTGAATATGCTGAAGTTCAGCACCCAACAGCCCTTGGTAATGGTCTGAGATGATCATGAGTTCTGCACATCACAGCAGTGCCCTTTTGTAGCTGATAACACAATGAACTTCAGGCCCAAATGCCAAATTCAGAATGGGGAGGGGGAAGATGTGGCTTCACCAGTGTAATTGGTCTATCTGTGAAGCTGCCCCAGCTCTGAATTTATCTCAGAACTGGGAATGGACCAAAAAAACATCCAGTGGCTTATACTTCTACATTGCAAAGTGGTATTTGACCCTAGCAAGATTGGGCTTCCAGCATCTCCTTTGAAGTACGTTACTTCAAAGCCTTGTTCATGTTCCAAAATTGAAATGAAGTCCAGGCAAGTGCAAGTAGCTTCTTCTGATCTCTGCTCAAGCTGCAAGTGACAACCTGAGCATACTGTCCAGTTAAACTATGCACTCTCCATGTTCCACTTGCTTAAGAAATTGTCTCAGAAGTTCAGCTCCAGCTTTTCTGGAAGGCAATCAGTAAAACAGACAACAGTGACCCAGTCCCCTATTTCTTCCCAACCTACAGACTAGAAGAAATAATAAAGCATTTACCACCCAAGGTAATTTGAGGATAAAGATTTTGGGTTATCATCTTCTCTGAAAGGACACAGCAATAAATGAGGCAACGCTGAAGAACAACAAATTGAGAGACAAATGGTGAGAAGACAGAAAATTGAGGAAATAAAAGAGCCAGCGCAAGATGAAATTAAAACTCTTTTTTGTTGTTGTTTAATAGGTGAGTTTTAAATACCACTTCACTTCCCTGAACAATCAGTAAAGACTCCCACGTGCTGGGCTCAATGCTTCACCCATCCCTTGCTTGGCCAACATCAGAGCTGGTTGCTCTGAGTCTGCATCTGCCTGCTCCCCAACTGTGCCTCTGTGAGTAGTTAGCTGCCATAGGAATATCTACAGTTACAAGGCTGAGGAAGAAAACAATGATGTTTCTGCACCAGGTCCCAGGAACATTCAATGTCTCTGAGGAATCCCAGGGGCCAGAAACCCCACCAGAGTAACAAATGATGCTCAGAAGAAGGTGGATGTGGTAAGTAAAGGGTCGGTGCTGGGATGCTGTGTGGCAAACAGCCATTCTGCTCTCCTTCCTTGAAATGTCCTCACATGCCAGTTCTCCTGACAGACGTCTTTTGGGAGCTGTCTCCTGCTGACAGATGTTACACCAGCCACTGGAGGCACTGGGCTGGAGCAAGGAGGAGCTGGAACATCCTTCCTGTTTTTCTCAGCTCTGCTCTCATTTTTTCTGGGCACAATCCTTTTGTCTCCAGAGAGAAAACAAGGAGCAATGTTTTCCAGGAACTCCAAGAGCGATCCAAAGTCATAGACACAGTCTGCTGGTACTGTCAGTAGGAAATCCAGTCTAAAACCCAGGTTCTCAATGTCCACACCGCTACAGAGCCCTCCTCCTGGATTGGTGAGAAACAAAAGAAAACCATTTGATGCAGAGGTGACCACTTTTCCCTTCAGCTGATTAAAACTTGGACAACATCTTCAGTACAAGACAACAGATCCAGTCCTGCTGATCTCCCACGGAAGAGAATTTTTGCTGAAGTCTCAGGAGCTGGCAGGATCAGGCTCAGCCTGCAGCAGTTGCACCCATCACTTTCCTCAGTGGCAAATCAGGAAACTCAGTGAAAGACTGACTAGAAAATTCCCAGTGATGCATGGCAAAGAGAGTCAATGCTTCTTGCCTAACACGTGCTCTAGGGCAGATTCAGATGGAGTCCAGAGTATTTTTTTTCCCCCTTTAATGCAGAGAATTTAAGGAGGAAACTGATGAAGGAGAAAGCAGCAGCTATAGCCTGGTGGCAGTCAGGATGTTCTTCTGAGCACATGGTGGTCAGTAAGATTATCTGATCCAAGACTGCTGTGACCATACAGTATGGGCTTGAGGTTGGGTTTATGTGGCCATAAGCACTGGCTTCAGATTTAGAGCTAGAAATGACATTTCTTTTTGAAGAGATCTTCACTGAGTGTGCCTTGGCATCACCCTGTTGTAGCAGAGCTGTGTACCCTTTCCAAACTGAGTTCCCTGAGCCCAGGGAACAGGGGTCTGTTGATAGGTTGAGAACAAAAGTCTGCCCAAGTCAGTGGTTTCCTATGAAACCAGACTGAAACTCAACACCAATCACCCAATTCATTTGTGGAGGGGGGGAACTTCTTAAAGTTAGAGCAAAATTCAGACTTGGTCCCAGTTTGGTTCTTGCTTGAGGAGGAATTTTACATCACTGTGATGCTGCCAGCCTCTTCTGAGGTACAGCAAATTCAGGCTCAACACGTGGAACTACTGGGGTCATATATCCCTGCAAAGTCACTGGGAAATACTTCTATAAACACAACTGATGCCAAGCCAAGGTGTCCAACCCATTTCTTCACCTTCTCTGGTTCTTCCCCTGCTTGGCATGAAGCAAGCTCCCAGTTCCACCAGCCAGAGTGGCACTGGGACAGTCTAGGAGCTTTGTAAAGACTGCACTGGGCCAGACCCTCAGCTCATCTAAAGCCCCGTGGCACAGGCAGCTTGAGAAGGTTGATGCTTTTTATTCCCACCTAACAACCAGATTCATGAAGGTGCCAATGAAACCAGCATTCACTCAACAGTCTCATCATCAAATCTGAATAAGCCTTTTTTTCACTTTTTCATTAAAGTCAGGTCTTTAAGGTGACTTGGATTCAAGGGGATGAGCTTGACTATGAAAGCTCTCATGCATGTTCCTGTAGGAGAATGCAGCACCATACAGGTCCCATCACGGAGAGATTCAGCTTATTTGGAGCAGCTAGCTCAGCTCAAGACTTGTTACTTCACACCAGGTCTTGTTGAACCCTGTTCAGTTCACTGCAGCTTTGCCTGATACCATACAAAGACCACGGGTTGTGTCCACCTCCATAAATCACTGAGGAATACCAAACAGCACGTGACTGGTGTAACATGTTTCCCTTCTGTAGGACTGGAAAGGCAGGAGAAAAAAAAAGCCCATTGATCACTAAGATCAAACTTGCAGCAAGCCCCAGATAACGTCACAGATGATCACTAACATTTCAATATGAAAGAAGCGTGTCAGAGTTGGCTGAAAGAAACATTTGTGTCCAGAAACAGGCCTAGACAAACCATCATCATCATCATCTGGAACTGTCCAACCCTTCTCCTTGGGAATGTGTTTACCACTGGGAGCTTTGTTTTACCTAATGACAAACTATCAGATCCATGCTGGCCTTGCACCACTGTGTAACGGGGTGGAGAGATGCCAGCAGCCTCTTGGTGTGCTTCACAAGGACAGAGAAGTTATTTCCATTTGTTGCCAGTTCTCTGTTGTGGGTTTGTTTCTTTTTTTCATCCCTACAGATGAATTCCCAGCGCTTCCAATTCTACGTGGTTTCAAAAAATAAAAGGGATAGAGGGGAGGGAGAACTCTTGAACAAGTTGAAATGTTAAAGAAGAGAGGGAACCAGGAGAACAGAAAAGATGGAGAAGTGCAGTCAGTTGGCATATTGTGCATAGAAAGCAACTTTTACTCGCTCAATCTGGTGACACAGTTTGATGGCTGGACCAAGCTTCAGCTCCATGCACTCCTGCACCGTGGGCAGTGTCAGCAACAGAAGGGCTTGGCCATCGATGTCCTGGGGGTGAAAAAGACAGGGAAGATGGTTTGGTTTGTGAAGTGTGGAGGGCAGAAAACATAACCAGGTCTGGAGAAGCAAGAAGGGAAGCTTGCCCTGAAAATTAAGGTGGTTTTCTCCCACTTTGATGCTACCCACCCATCTCCTTTTTCTGGTTCTTCTGAAGTTGCCTAGTGTGTCTTCATAGCCTCCCACCTTGCCCCCAGTTTGGGAGAAGCCTCCCAACTGCTGAAATGCAAGACAACCTTCTAAAGAAACTCTGCAGAGTCCATGGAGGTTTGATTAGTCCCATGTTAGTCCATAACTGAGGAGCAGAAACCAGGGGGAGGCTGCAGAGAGCACACTGGCAGGCAGAGGAGGGACCTGAATGGAGAAACTGATGATGGTCCCACTGCCAAGTCAGACCCTTCCCCACCTCTTCTGGCCCATGATTTGCTCAGCACAGATTTACATCCACCTTGCTCCATGCCACATCCCCGGGTACACCCAAGACTTGCCTTGTTCCACCTCAGCTACTGAACAGCCAAGACAGAGGTGCCTGGACCACCCAGAGCCTCTGCAATCTCTCCTGTCCCAGAATCACAGACTGGTGTGGGCTGGAAGGAACCTCTGGAGGTCACATCCTTCTGTCAGGCACCTCTATGCACCAAGCTCCAACAACCAGCATCCCAGACAAAAGCCATTTTATTAGGGATTTCTGCTGGCTTTATGATCCTCTTCTTAATTAAGAGCTCAAGTCCTCTTTATTCTTTAATGGACTGAGAAGCAAGCTACAAAACTGCTTTTTACCCTGCAGGGAGGATCAACCTCAGTGGAGGAAAAGCAACTCCCAGGCAACATAAACTCCCCAGGACAGCTCTTATCAGACAGCATTAAAAACAAGGAGGATTTGGACACCTTAAGCACTGCTTTGATCAGGACTGTCCACAGCTCAGGTTCTCCCTCCACTGAAGCTTGATGGCATGGCCCATTGCAGCAGAGCTTCCTTGCAGATCACAAGGAAACGCTCCAGTCATCTGTGTCTGATTAAAGCCCTCATAAAACTCTTTGGCAAAGGAGAGACGGTTGGATTTCGAGCCCTGGCGTGACTCCAGGCTGATTAACAAATGGTTGGAGCATGCTGAGGCTACAGCATCTTGTTATGGAGAATTTCAGCCTTGCTCTAGACTCACACTTCAACTTCTCCCAGCCCAAGCAGCTGTACTTGGGTAGAGAGTTACTCATGGTGAAAAATCAGAGACAGTTCAACGTGCAGGTGGCCAGACCACTGACTGCCATCAGCTATGGCCTAATTAACCACACTTGCTTCTTACTAACTGATTTCTTAGTGCTGCCCTTGACTTTCAGCAGCAGCTGCTGCCCACTAGCCAAGCAATGGCTGTTTCTATATAAATTTCACACGTTCACACTGACTTGAGATGAAGAGCATCAGGTTCTGCTCCTGGACACCTATCTGCTTAATGGGGAGATGTCTGGAATCTCCTAAATTTAGGTCATCCAAGGGGCCTGACTGTCAGATCTTCAGATGGATGCAGAAGAAGTGTCTATGTACTCATAGCATCCAGGTATCAGCAACAAAATTCAGGCAGCCAGTTTGGGTTCAAGCAGAAGTCTTCTGCTTCCCAGGCCAATACTGTAATGCAGGGTAGGATGCATGTGGCCAGGAGAGACAGCTTGATAGGTACCAAATAACCACTCTCTATTGGTGCACCGAGGTGCCTCTGTGACACCAGGATGGTGCTGTGGACCTGGGCATGAACCAGAAAGTTCTAAACGTCCTGCTTTTCACAAGCACTCCAGCTGGGGTGCCTCTGGTCTCTCTGAAGATCTGGCAAGGCTCCGATTGAAGTTTCCAAGGGTTTCCATGCCTCACCAAAATCCATGCTACAGCTTGCCCTTAGGGGATCTGATCCTGACCTCTTTGCCCAAGCCCCAGCAAGCAAGGTGATATGCAACGCTCCTTTTTTTTTTCCTGTGTGATGTGAATAAGCACCACAGACACAAAGAGAAGAGTCACATGAAGACCTCTACCTGCTCCTGAAATATTTTGGCAAGGGGTGCACAGTCGGTCAGTTTAATAAACCTCACGACATCAGTCACAGTCCACTCCAATGGATTACTGTCCAGGATGAGCTTCTCCTCCTCCTCTTGCTTAATTTCCTACCAAAAAAAAAATGAAAATAAAAGCTCTCATAAAGAAAACCACCTTGTGTGGAGAATGAGGGCAGGATGCCCTCATCAGATGAAGATGGCTTGCCACTGAAGGTTAGTTTAGGAAGAATGATGCTAATAATTGGGAGGGATAAAGGGCCATCCTCACCTCCTTGCCTTGCACGCCCCTCTCTGCCTCGCTGCAGGAGTGGGGCTGGGGTCTGCGGCTCCGCCGGGCTCTCTCCATGGCAGGAGGTCTCTCCAGCTCCATGCTGCTCCTCAAGGTGACCGCCCGCCGGGGCCTGGCGGAGGGGACCTCAGCAGAGGAGGTGTCTGTCTGGTCATCCCGAAGCTCCGAGCTGGTTTCCTCACTCCCTGTCTCATCTGGCTCATCCTCTTCGCTCTCCTGCACAAGGACCAGCAGAGAAACAGCATCTGGGCTCCGAGGTGGACACAGCAGCAGATCAACAGGCAGGGGGTCAAGCTGCAGAGACGTGCCCACGCCAGTCCAGGGTGACATTTAGAGTAACCAAATCATCTCGTTTTCATGACATTAGCTCTCCACTGAGATTTGTTACAGAAGGTAGAAGGAAAAAAACTACACGCTGGACAAATCCTTTCTCTGTTTCTAACAAAAGGTCAACGGCAATAATTCATCTGGCAGAAAATGTTCCTGTGCTGGGCTCGCATCTCAAACCTTGTGGCACTGCAGATGTGCACGAGATGAGGAAATGGAAAACACTAGAAGGCTAGAACAAAACTCAGGTTGCTTCAGGTGAAATAAAGTCAGCAACAGGCTTGAATTTAAACCTTCACCTTGCTTCAAACTGTCATGGGTGTCATCAGTGTTGAAAGGAAGAAAATTTGGGTGCCTTTTAACAATACCTCCATGTACAAGTGCCTACTTACACTTGATTTCTGAGCTGGCATTTCTGTAAAACCCAAGACAGGATTTCACCCAGGTTTCCCTGCTTTCAGCCCAACACCTAACTGATGAAAGGGAAGCACAGATTTCCATTTAAAGGATATTATACCAGATTCTTGTTATTTCTGTCACACAGAGCTTGCAAGCACACATCCACTGATGGGAGCTGTGCATTTTGAACTTTAGATATATATAAGTGGCCCAAAATGTCTTCAACAGCTTAGCTCTGATTGAAGTGTGAGCATGCATCCAAGACATATGCTTAGGCCTTAAGTGAAAGAGAAGTTTTAGACAGTTATATTGGCTGAAAGGGTGAAAAAACATGGCTAACAGCTGGTTTTGGCTTAACATGAGTTTAAATTCCTTTGAAGCAGGTATAATCTAAGGAAATGAAGCAGAACAACGCCTAAATGAGGGCATGAAGATGCAAGCAGTCAACTGGAAGCTGACTAAAATATCCCCCTCCAGCTGAATTAGAAGGAATTTCAAGTAAATCCTTTTTACTTCACCTTGCAGAAAGCAGCAATCATTGGGACTCAGCTGAGAAAAGGTAACCACACATCAGCTTTGTCACTGCTGCCATGGAAAAACCACCTGGGAATGGTCCACACGGAACTAACCCTGCTCCAGATTGTATCTGGACACAACTCATTGCTGAAGCTGGAATCCTGTCACAGCACACTGGAAAGACTGAGGTCTCAAATACCACATATCATAGAATTACAGAACAATTTGGGTTGGAAGAGACCTTAAAGATCATCTTGTTCCAACCCAACTCTACCATGGGCAGGGACACCTCCCACTAGACCAGGTTCCTCCAAGTCCCATCCAACCTGGCCCTGAACACCTCCAGGGATGGAGCATCCACAACTACTCTGGGCAACCTGTTCCTGTGTCTGACCACCCTCACAGTGAAGAACTTCTTCCTTTGGGACACAAACCACTTGTTTGTATTCTAATGCTTCTAAAACTTCTATTCCTTGATGTGAATCAAAAATACTACACGAGGTTAATAAAAAAATAAAACCCCTTGTAACTGCAATGGTCCATGAGTTATTATTTGTTATAAAACTTGGAGATCTTAGACAGACAACAGACCTCCTTCACTGTGCTAGATGCTGTGCAAAGCATCTAACAGGCTCATCTGCCTAATGGCTTACAAGGAATCAAAACACCCCAAAGATGTAACACCACACAGCACGTTAGCTAGTGAGGATTAGGAAGGCAGGAACAAAAACTCTCTCTGTTAACTCTGGAATGGACAAGGGTAGAAGTCCCCAGAGTGTTTCTATAAAACCAATTTGACCTCAGAAGAACAGAGTGATTCAAAATGGAAAGTGGAGCATCGAGGTCTGCTGAGAAGTCCCTCAAAGGAAAGATGGAGATGGGGGACAAGAAATCACTGATTCCTGATTTTATCCCAGAGATGCACACACCTCTGCAGAGCCTGCAGCATTCAGATCCACAGCTGATGACCTCCTTTTCTTCTGCACAAAGATGGATTTCCGCCTCTTCCTGCGTCTGGCGGGCTTGACATGGCCACTCTTCATGTTGTTGTTCTCCCCAATTGGTGGCTTAATGATTTTTTTCCTCTTCCCATAATAATAAGCTGGAGAAACGAGGCAAAATAGCTATTAAAAACTTTAACCAATAAGAGAAGGAAACTTTGGCTTGCTTCTTGTTACTGATTCAGTGCTGCACTCTAAATGCACTTTTATGAGAGACTTTAAAATACAGAGATTTGGAAAAAATGTCCAGTGTAAATATAAGATGTCGTCTTGGACTAGCACAGTGTTACAGCTCTTTTGTATATACATTTATTGGCCATGAGTGAGAAGTTCAGAATTTAACCCTACAATATGCACTTGGGCAATGCTGATTGATGAGACAATCTCTGCTGGAGCTCCCCCAGCTGTACTCTTCCAGCTCTCCATCTGCTGCCAGTGGGAGCTAGGAGTCTAGCTCAGGTGTAGACTTCTACACAAACCCATATTCAGTGATCTGAATCTCTCCCTGAGCCCATTTCTCCTTCTACTCTGGTGCCAAACTGAAGCTAATGTATTTAAATCAATCATTTTAGTTCCTTGCAACCTTTGTGGAAGAAGGACAGCACCCACTTCCACTTTCCTGACCTTCTTAAGAGCAGGCAATATCAAAAACATTGACACCAAAAAGTGTTGAACACATTCCTAACTTCAGCCTTCCTGAATAGGAACATGTTTGAATACAAAACACCTTAAGCAGATCAAGTCAGTGCTCCCAGATGTCTCAGAAGCAGCAGTTTAAACCTCAGCTGGCCACTGCAGGTTCCTTTTCAGTGCTCCTTATATTAACCTGACACACAAAGAAAAGTCAAGACTTGCAAAAATTAATGACTTCAAATGGATATATTAGGATGGAGTGAGATGGGCAGTTTTCTGGAGATGACTATTTCTTTGTACAGGACACTAAGGGAGCCTACAGTGGCCTGGTGAGGATTAAATAACTGCACTTAGATGAGATGAACCCAACTCAACATTAACGTATCACACAACTCCTGCTCCTCACCACTACCTCACGCCCTTGCTCCGACTCCCAACAAGCAGCATTCTGGCCAATACTCACTGTACTTGGTTTTTGTATGAATGGAGCAGTTCTCTGGGCACACTTCAGCCACCAGCACCGGGCTGAACAAGTTGGGGCAGCACTCCAACTTTGCACAGACCCTCCTGCAGAAATCCGCCACCTGATCCGACGTCCGCACGATCTTCACCGTTGCCCTGTACGTCTTCCCTCTGTACCTAGAAAAGAGAAGAGCCCAGGTCACCCACCAAGTGATGCCCTTCCATCCTACAGACCAGTCTCTCCTGTTAGGGAGACACCTCCTCTCATGACTTTTGAGAGAGTATCTCTCTTGGACTGGCAGGCAGAAAACGTCTACTGGCTTTAGTGGCTCCAGCTGAGGTGGACTTGAGGAAGGGAAGGCAAGGTTGAAATGCATCAGTGGTGTGGACATGATTTAAGAAGTACTGCAGGTGCTGACTGCACAGATGTGTAGATGTGTCAAGAGATGGAAAAAATCACAATAGGCTTGGTGAGGATACAACACAGGACAGCAAGTCCATACTATAAACTGATGCAAAGTTTGGGAGAGAGGGATGTAGTCTCTCTTCAGAGATTGATCTGTGATGAGAAGCTTCCTGGTCACCACCCTGTGTCTGGGCTGCACTGGAGACTGCCTCTGTAAGCCCCAAAACCACTTTTGGTCTTTTCCACTGCTGTCTTTCTTATCACATTCCAGCTCACAGCAAGCCCATAGTTTCATACACTGTGTAGGTGTCTCTAAGTGGAACTGTACTGTCTGCCACATGAGGACCAGATGACTTCAGTGCTCTGAGATGTGGGCAACACAAGACCCAAGGAACTGATCAGGAGTCTCTTGAGTTGTTTAAGCTAAAATCTGATTCCTACAGGGAATGATTAAAGCAGAAATCTGCCATGAAAGGTTTGTCTTAAATTTGTTACCCCTGTGCTACTAAAACATTTATTTCAGTGTTTTATACGAAGTGTTTCTGAGTGATAAACAGCTAAGAGAGACAGAGTTACATCCCTGCTATAATACAGTGCAGACATGAACTCTGCAAAACCAATTATCCCCATAATTTATTAAACAGCAGCACCAAGCTAAGATAAAGTTTTTAAAACATCTCTTAGGCAAGAAATGCAACACAAGAGGCAAGCATGTGAGCACCTGGTGCTCAAGCATTATAGGGGTGCTTAGGAAAGAGAAAAGGAACACACACAAAAGAGGGGGAGACAGTGAAAGATTAGTTACTGGGTGAGAGGCAATGAAAGGCAAAAGCACATTACCAGGAAAAATGAGGCTAAGCATTTGTGAGTGTATTAAGACCCACAGTTCCCTCACAGCAAATCAGCTCCTGATAGTCAGATATGGAAGAGGAAGAGGAGGAGAAGGTGAAACAAAGGAGATGAAGCCAGAGAGCCACAATATGCAGCATGTGCCCAGACTCTGTTCTCTCTATGAAGGTTTTACTGAGTTGCACAAAGCTACTGAGAAACCACTTTTTGCTGCTCTCCCTCCCAAAAGCTCTTTCTGGAAACACTAGGGTGTAAGAAAAGGGTTTGAGACTGGTACATAAAGTGTGAAAGAGGCATAACCAAACTAAACTGGAATCTGAGAACAGCCAAGTCCAACCACCCTCATGTCGGAGAAGACTTGATCCAAAGTCTCACCTCAACACAAAACTCTTCCACAACCTAAATGACCATTTCCCCAAGGTATTAGGCACTTGATACCTCACTTAGTGCCTGAACCAGGACCCCAAGTCATGGAGACAATTCTGGACTCATTCATATGAATGAATGAATGAATGACCTAATTAGTCAACTCCTCATGCACCCCAAGAGACCTGGACACATGATGCAACATGGGTGGAGGATGGATGGATGGATGGATGGATGGATGGATGGATGGATGGATGGAAAAAGTGTTCCACCTACAGATCCCAGCTTCCTTATGAAACAGCTGCACAGACAAGCTGGCTAAAGAGGCTTTGGCAGTACTTAATATCAAAAGAACAAATTCCACAGGCATTTAAATACATCTGCTTATAAACATTCTATATTTCTTTCCCATGTGTTTGAAAAGACTCCTGCCCTTATTACTTCTCCAGGAGCCATGAAGTTTAACAGCAGTCTAGATCATTAGGTCAAGAAGTCTGACTCCTGTGAGAGGCAGCAGAATTTCATTGGATTACCTTCACTTGAACCTCAACAACTTTGGTTGGACTAAAGCATCACTTCCAGAGAAGCACCAGCCTCCCCTCCAGGGTCTCCACACTGGACGAATCCTGGTAGGGGAGCACTTATACCCACACCTCATGAAACCATGCCTCATCTTAGGTCTGGATGTGTCTGGACTCAACTTAGATTCAACTGTCCTTGTTCTGACTTTCACTGCCAGGATGAAAAGACTGAGTCTGGTTTTGTTTCTCTGCAAAAGCACCATAATCAAATTGCCTCTTGATATTCCTTCTTATAAGGAAGCTGCCTGATGGGTATTACTCAAGGATGGCTGATTTTTTTCCAACTGTGTACTATTGTGTTTGGCTGCCCAGAAAGGACCCATTGTACTAAAGTGCCTGGTAAAAGAAAAAGATGAAACTAGGAAAACGAAGAACTGACTGATTTCAGAGTCTGGTTGGAATGCAACACACATAGTAATTAACAGAATGGATGGCAAAACAGAGGTCAACATGATTGCAGCAGTCAGTCTCCATAACCCAAGGTGTTAGTACTGGCTGCAGGAGTATTTTTTACATGATTTTGGGCTTGGCAGCACCTCTTTCAGCTATAAACCAGGTTCTACTAATATTTTCCATATTCCTCACATACTAAGGATTTTTAACACTAACACCACCAAATGTAATCTGAGCTCTTCTGGGACAACCACGTGGAAAGAGCTCCTCTGGACATAATCAGAAAACCCTTTTCTGTTAGCAATGCTCAAAAAATTACCAACTCCTGATATCCCTATTGATGTTTCCATACTAGAACTCCTGTCTTCCCAAGCACCTGTAATCAGTGAGTAACCTGCCTGCACAGCGTGGCAGCACTGGAGACCTGGAAATAGCTCTGTCAAGCATAAGACTTTCAGTTTTCTTAGAAAACACTGCTCTTTTAGAGAAGATTTTTCTACCAAAGCCAAAGAAATCTTCCTTTCCTCTCCCCCATTCTCTTCCTTCAGATCCCCAAAACTGGAGAAACTCTTATGGCTGAAAGTATTTCCATGAAAAATGTACTGAGGATCTTTGCTGATCCATTAGCAATGATATTAAACTCATATCACTTTGCTGGCAATTACATTCTTCTGTAAAGCCTCCTTTGGTGATAAAAAGGCTACAGGTTCATGAGAACCAAACATCCTCAAGGACCTCCAGTGAAGAATCATTTTGTGATGACATGAAAAGTCTTGTGCTGAAGACACTTCAAACAGTAAGAAGACTGAGACTACTCTCATTTTCAGCATAAGGAGTTCTGACAATCCTTGAGACTAGTTTGAACAACTCACTGGCTAAAAGCCTCAATTTCCTTTTGGGGGACCAAAATCTCCTGCCTATTCTTTTGCAAGAACCTTCCAATTTGTCTTATCAGCTTAAAGTTAAACCTCCTTCTGATTATACAAAGAAAGGGTTGAGGTCATTCCACTGATCCTAACAATTTCTGTCTCTGATACTTGGTGCAGAAGGCCACCTAGTCACACTATCTCACCCTTGAGGTGCCTCAAAAAGTATGTGGAAGAGCTGATGTGGAAGAACCAGATCATATGAGCTGTAGCTTTGTACTGACCTTCAAGGAGCACCATCAATAACTGCCTGCCACTTGGACTTCATATCACTGATTGAGTGCAACCCTTTGGGTTCAGTTGCCCAGTCCAAGTCCCACTCCTCACACACGTTCAACCCACACCTCCACAGCTTGGCTACAGGGACAATATGGGAGACTATGTCAAAAGCCTTGCTAATAACAACTTCCACTGTTTTTCCCTCAACCCCCAAACCAGTTATCTCATCACATCAGGCACAACTTGCCCTTTGTAAATCCATGCTCATTCTTGCCAGTCCTGCATGTTCTTGGAAAAGGCTTCACTCCCTCAAACAGTAATAGGGACCTGGGAGGCCTGAGAGAAACCTCTGCTAGCAAAGGTTGAGGCAAAGAAGACTTTGAACACCTCAGCATCACCTATCACAAGTCAAACACAGTCTTCTAAAGCATCCACAGTGAAAAGACTTTGAAAGGAAGCTTCATAAATAAGCAATGGTGTCTGTGGTGGGGGTAAATATTCCTAAAGGATTCCTACAGGACTTGGGCAGTACTCAAAATTTCATTTAATGAAGGAGTCTAGGAATACTTATTACTTTCTTATTTTGATTAATTTGGCTTCATACAAGACCCAGGAGAGAACTCCCTGTACATACTGATACTGTTTGTGTTCAAAGCCCTGCAAAAATCAGTGAGTCCAAGCAGCCTCACTTACAAGCCCTGAGAAATGAAAACCCTTAAAAAGCATAAAACCCCTCAAGCATTTTATGTAAAACTGGGAAGCCAAATCTAGACGTGGGCACTGAATTTAAAGCATCAAAACCATAAGAGCTGAACGCCTACGGCTTTGGCTGGCCCTCATGGGGACTCAAGAGGATCAGGCCTGACATTTCTAACCCATCATCACCAATAAATCAGGTCTGACTGTTTTCACAGAGAGCCAGCAGCACTGAGGAGCAGTGACGGCCACCACACATTCTCTGTGGACCATTAAATTGTTTATCTTCTTTGCAAGGCTAGTGTAATTGATTCTGTGCTGGCCACTCAGGACAGCAGCAGAATAAACTCCATGCAGGTTGCCCTAGGACTGAGGTAACACATTCCCTGCCAGCGTGGGATTCAGCATTTGGGCCAGTGGGAAAAATCATCCTCCTCTTCACCATCTTCTTCCCTCCCCCTCGCTCTACCCTACCACCGTGGCAAACAAGAAGCATCCAAGGAGCTGTCAGGCTACATCAGAGGAAGGTGGTGACACGACATGTCACATTACAGCACAGACACTCCTGCTGGCTGTAGAGCTGTCATCATTAGCAGCAAGACACCACCAGGAGCTGGTGTTGCTGCAGAGGGTGTAGACAGGCGTTTGCTCATTACAGGTCTCTAAGCTTCTGGAACACAACTGACTGTCACAGCTGATGTAACATGTCATGTGCTGTTTGTTTATCCCAGGGTGACTGACTTCATGTTTTCTTCTCTGCTCCTGCACAACCAAACACAGTTAAAACCCTCGTACGCCTCTTGATGAAGCAACTCAAGCAAATTCAGGAAGGAAAAATGAAGGAAGTCTTAGGGTACATGTCAGTTTTAGGGTATGTCAACCCTCTGTCCTCACTCTTAGAAGCACCCAGACTACCCTCAGGCAAGCAGGTATGATCACTGAGCAACACTGTGTGAACAGAGCTCCAGCACCAGAAGCTGGGCAGCTAAAGCAACAACGTGCTGTCCAACCCCATGAGCTGTGTCTCCTCAGGAGCCAGAGGACAATGCCACACTGAATGAGAATATACCATGCTCAGAAGTCACTCCAAAACTTGCTGTCCCAGCTCTGAACCTGTAATGATCCATTCTGTGGCTTGAAAATTTGAAAGATGGTCCTTAACTCACTGAAGAGTTAAGGCTGCTGCCTGCTGGGGTAGTCATCACACATGAACACCTACATAGCCTGTGACTGGTTGGCCAGCACAAAATACAAAACCTCCTTGTTGGAAAGCAGTAGTATACTTCTATCTGGCAGGCTGTGGAGATGGAAGGT